AGTGCGGAGTTTTAGCTTTTTTTATATTTTAGTGACCTCTCGCCTTTCATTCTAAAGTCAAATTAAACGAAGAAAACAATAACCCTTTCCTCCGGAAGAGGTTTTTTTGTCAGCGTAACCATTTTTTAAAAAGCGTTCTTCCGAAATTTATTCAAAAACTTGCTAGTTTCACTTTGATTTTTTAAACTAAAGTAGGGTAACTCTGTTCGCAAAGGGTGCGCATTTGTGAAGAGGGCGCCACCGAATTTTGAGGACACTTTTTTAATTGGCTCAAAGAGAGAAGTGGCCCCTCTTGTTATGTAGACTCTTTGATCTGAGCCAATTGAAAAAGTGCCCTCAAAATTCGGTGGCGCCCTCTTCGAAAAAGTGTGGCCTTTACGAACAGAGTTAGCCCACTTGTGTGAAAAACAATGAAAGAGAAACTAAAAAAACCTGTGCTATTCCTATTCTTCTTCTGGAGAAATGAAAGAGAGCTTCAAAACAAAGACTGCAGCGCCATCTGAACTTCCGCGGACACTTTTTAGACCGAGTGAACTACATGTATCTTGTATGAACGATCATGTCTTTTGGAAGATTTTAGATGGAAGGATTAAGGAGAAGATCACCGTTCAAGGATGGCCTCTTTTTTTGGGAATGCGAATGCGTGCGAGTTAGTGTGTGTGCGTGTGTGTGTGTGTGTGTGTGTGTGTGTGTGTGTGAGAGAGAGAGTGAGAGTGTGTGCAGGTTGGAAAGGGGGGGGGGGCTACACCCCTAAAGTCCCGATTTAGCTCAAAATTATGGAATTTGATTTGTAGGCATTTTTTGCTTCCTCAGTCTTTCCTACAAATATTTCATTGAATAAGAACCCCGAAACATTCCGGGCATGTTTTTCACCACTATTTCCTCTTAAAGTCATTTTATTTTTCTTTATCGGTCGTTTTTTAAAAACGCGAATTTTCTCTCTATATTTTTTAAATAACTGCTTGAATTTTTTAATCAAGCTTCACGAAATTTTCACAATAGGAAGAGAAGATGTAATACTAAAACATTTTCGGTTGAATTTTTGTTATATGGAATAGATTTTTGTTGATTGGGTCTGGAGTGTGGATTTTCACGGATTTTTTGCAAACTTGAATACAACCTCAGTAAAAAAAATTCTAATTCGTTTAGGAAAAAATTGAACTAACAAATGTTTAGATCTAATGTTTGCTAGCATGCATGAAAAAACAACAACACAGCAACAATCAATTTCCAAGAAAAATAAATGTGGTATTCATATTACGTAAGACATCATCAACAAAATCCAATATGGCCGCCGTATCCATGGAAATGAAAGTGTTTACTCAAATTTGATTGCGGGTTTTAAAACTCATTACTATGCTTGTTATATGTGTGAAATTTGGTCAAATTTAGTCAACTAATGAGCGAGATATCCTTCAGGTGTAATCCCCCCCCCTCCCTTAAAAAAAATTAAAAGGGGGTGGGGTGCTGACATATTATCTGTAGTCGTCTGTCCTTTGGTTTTTGCTTTTCTGTTTGGGTGATTTTAGTCCTCTGTGCTCTTTACAGTACTGACTGTTCATAATAAACTCCTGTTTGATTTTCAGTCTCTCTGTCTTTTGGCTGTCTCCGTGTCTGCCTGTCTGCTTGTCTGTCTGTCTGTCTGTTTGTCTGTCTGTCTGTCTATCTGTCTGTCTGTCTGTCTGTGTGTCGTAGGGGGGGGGGACCGAAAAAATTTACCTCATGTCACCTATTCTAATTTTTTTTTTGCTTGTTATGCAAGCAAGTTTGTTTAAACCTTGGGTCCATTTTATTACTAAGTTAAAAAAAACAACCCTGCGTACTTGACCTTATAATAATTAAAGAGCTTTGCTGAAATTCTCTAATTCCATGGAATACGTAAGGGGCAATGAATACTTCTCAGATTGATTTTTCTCCTTAACACCGAGAACACTTTCAGCAAACTGACACTCGAGCCTCACCTGAATCCCCCCGGGTATTTGACTTATCTGTTTGAGGTTTCCCGATTTCTCCTCTTCACACCTTAGATGGGGATTGTGGAAAATACGTTTATCTAGTAAAGGCGCTTGGTAATATTGGTTGCGATTTGCGTCACAGAAATGTTCTGGTTACATAGGCAAGCTGAAGATGTTGAACCTTTTTTCTTACTGACGTCGCAAATCTCAGGTGTTTACCTGCATCTTGTATACTATCATTCAAGAAGATCCAGAGTCATGAACCCAATGCTTCATCACGCAAGTGAAAGACTCACGTTTCACTCCCTTGAAGGGAATATAATAGTCTAGTGTTTTTACCTGGAGCAGAGTCAAAGAGAATGATGTACAGAAAAGTGGAAAAGGCGTTGGCATGACGTCAAGAAACTATCTCAAGATAGGAAAACAATGGAACATGTTTGTCAGTAACCTGTACCTTGGTCCAGGGTGAAAGAGGCAATGGTCACGATATTAAGAGTTTCGGCCTTTTTTGTTTTGTTTTGTTTTTTGTTTTGATTTTGTTTTGGTTTTGTTTTGTTTGTTTGTTTTGTTGTCGTTCTTGTTTTGTTTTTTTGCTGGAGTGTACTCCACACATACTGGTTTGGTCCTGACAGGCAGGGAGGTTTGAAGCAGCTTAGCTATGCCCCCCCAAAACGGTGTACATTGTATCAAAGTACGAGTGCGTAATATGTTTCCAGCTTGTCGATGGAGACAAAATGGCATTCAATATTCATTGCCTGTCTAGCTGCTTGTCTACTGCGATATGGTGGTCTACATAAGTCCCGCCAGATTGATCAGGGTCTACCGTGTTCTAGGTAGACAGTTTAGACAGTACAAAGGTACTTGAAAATTGCACACCCTGGTTGTAAAACACACCTATCTGTTGTTTGTTACGTGTAGGTCTATACAGAAACGAATAGCGTAGCGTATAACCAAAACTTAAAGTGTAACGACCGACATAACAAGTTAGTAAAGAAAGTCCCGCCCGATCGACCACGCTCTACTGTGATCGAGGTGGTAAAGGGTAGCGTAAGTCCTGCTTGATTTGTCACGGTAACGACAGCACTTTGGGGGGGGGGGGGGG